GTAAGGCGGTGTCTCGTCGCCGTCTAATCTCAGTGACTTCACGCTAGTGGTACTTATCGCGCTAGGTCTTGGACACTGCAACAGCGCGGAATCCGGTATACTATTCTTCCCTAAATATGTGATGCTTCCTGAAGCATTCAGCGAAGGATTGCTGCCTTTGGACGTATTCGAAACGGTGTCTTTGTCTTTCTTTAGCTTCTTCGCGAATAACTTCGAGAAGAGTCCCTGCTTCGAGGTTTTCGTGAGCGTGCCGGGCAGAGAAGGTAAATTCTTGTTGGGCGCTTCGACGAAAGGTTCAGACATCACGTGAGCGGATATAGGGCGAGGTAGAAGGGGCATGGAAGGCATTTTGCGGATGCGTTTCGGAGGCAACGGTGGCAGTCTCTCCTCCGTCTCCTGCGTTCCATCCCTTTTTGTGGTCACCGGAGGCGAGAAAGAGGAGTGATTCGCATGCTCTGGCTTTGGTATCGCTACGTCTTCGTACTTCCTGTCGTTCAGTAGATCCACGAACTCTATGGGATTCTTCATGGCCATCTGTAGACTAGTGTATGTTTGATTATCGCAAACGTCGATGTCCATCGATTGATCGGCGGTGTTCTGCTCAAGAGCCGCCTGCACCAGCTTCGCGTGCGTATCGGCATAAATTTGATCGAGTTCGGCTACTTGAGTCAGCAGTTCATTGAAAGATCTGTTGCAATCGTCTGCCTCGCTTTTGAAATCCACATCCTGATCCTTCTCTTTCAGGGATGTCTGACCTTTCTGCACCCACTTGCCTACTTCCGAGTAGTCGAACCAGTCGGACTTACTTTTCGGGGACTCTAAATCTTTGAACGTGTTCGCGTTATCGATAACGGTATCGGACTTAGTGGAAATTAAAGTTCCTGAATTGGTATCGATCGTTTCCTTATCCATACGATGGCTATCGACTTTGTACAGTTTGTTTATTTGTGCACTCTCAGAGCTGTTGGGTACCTCGTTATTCTCGTAATCTATTATCGTGTTTTTTAGGTGGCCTACATTTTGTGCGGCACTCTGATTGACCTCGGTGTTCCCGTTACAGGAGTCTAATGTGTTCTTTACGTTATACAGATCGTTCAAGGCGCGTAGGGCGGAAATTTTGTTAGTTGACTTTTTGATGTCGAAGTCGTTATTATTGAACTCGTCGATATTACGCGGAAACCTGGGTGTAACGTTTGAGAGTAAGGCAGATTCGGTGGCTAATATTTTACCAAATGTACTATAATCGGTTTTCTTCCGAGCAAATGCTTTCCGCAAAGACCAGAATGCAGGCCTACCTGCACCAAGTGGTAACATCTGAAACGGTAACGGTTCACTCGTTGCACCATCTGATGGTCTCTTGAGCTGAATGTACACTTGCACCGGTTGATCCACTTGCTGTATGCGGTACGTGGGTGTTCTGAACGCTATTGCTGTCTGTTAAGAATTATTGAAATGTCATTTAGTATGTCACAATTATGAGAAATAAAAAATACTGAACTTAGATTACCATACAAACATGAAACGTACTTGTTTATGTACATGAGTAGGTTGAAAATCACCAAATCCTTCCCACACCATTTGCCCGTCCTTCTCTTCGAAAAATCTAACTTGTATATCTTCTTTAGCAACCTTTTCGCACAGTAAAATCATTTCCATACCACCAGCAACTGAAGCACTACAATGACTGAGCTTGCATATTACAAGATCTGACATTGCCTCTGAAATAATCAAGAGAAACATATAATGGCTAGCTAAAGTAAATAGAAATTGTAGCGAATTGGACTTACTTTTATCAAATATAGGGTCAGATACAACTGGTGGTAATGGTAAATTGAATTTTCCTTTCTGTGATCCTTCTAGGAAAACTTGGAAACATAATCTCACTGCATTTAAATCAATGCTAGTAGGCTGTCTTTTATGTTCGAAGCCAGCTATTAAAACAGAGACATGATTTTGGTATTTTGTAACACAGACAATAATTTCTTACAATTAGTTCCATTTGTAGCTTACTTCGAAAAGGATCTACACGGATCTCTTCCCTTATTCTAAGCGCCTCTTCAATGTCCTTTTTCTTAACACACTGAATCCCAAGATTTGCAAATGTGACTGTCATATTTTCTGATGATACTTCTACTGTACAAACACCTCTCTTGCATGCCTCCTTTCCAACTAAGTTGTGCGGATGAGGTCTGTGCGGTTGATCTTTTGTTACACATGATACTATAACTACAGCTCGGCCTTTGTATCCCACTATCTTTATCACATATCATCAATTATTATCACAGAGAACTCGTGTTAATAAAGAATATATATTAGCTAATACTCACTCTTATACTAGGAAAAGTTTTATTTTCTGGTGTACTGTTTACACCAGGTATACTGCCAGCAGATCTACCCTCGCATTCATAACGAAATCGTAAAGCTTTGCTGGCTGGCTGCTCTATTATTTCGACGTACGGCAACAACCGTCCAGTGTTCATTTCCACTGGCGGTAGAGTCTCCCTTCCGGTAGACTCCACAAACCCAGGATCGGTAGTTTGGATGACTTCAACTATTGAAAAAATTCATAGAAATTCAATGAACCTTCTGCCGAAACTCCACATGGAAGTACAAGGAAACTCCGAATACTTACTGACATCACTAATATTTATATTCCCATCACTCATACCATGGAATTGTTCCATGCCTTTTAGTGGTTAGTACACTGAACAGAAGCCATCTGGAAAACGATTCTTACGTCAGTACATACAGCCTTCCTAAACACTAATCAAACGGTTCCCTAAACGTGTGTCTCACAATCAACTAATATCTCGCACGGCAACGCACAGAACTAAAATTATCCTTCGTTAACGACCGCTGTTTAGAATGCATTATCAAAGGAGGAAAACCGAGTGAACGCGTTTCACAGAATTCCATGTTTCACGGGAACGGATTCGCGCGTGATTTGTCGCGCGAGCGGATCAAGGTAAAAACGTGCGATCGTACCTAAATATGAACGGAAACGATCGCGTGGAGGGAAAAATCGACTCCGCGGATCAATTCATCCGGTGAGCTCGTGCGCCCGCGGAGATGTACCAAACATCTTCGTGGAAAAGATGTTTATGTCGCAATACACGGGGCGACGACGATCGACGCACAGAACGAAGTTAGGCGTAACTTTTCGATTTCACACCGGCAAGGAGGGATCGAGCGTGAAAGGTGAACGTGTACGGATAGAGGCTCGGTACGGTGTACTTCGAAGCGACAGCTGTTCACAGGTATACTCCCAGAGGCACTGCAACACAAGTGTCCCGAGGGAAGAGAAACGGCAAGAAAGCAAAAGTGAGGAACAGAGACAGAGCGAGAGAGCGAAGAGGACGAGGAGGGATGCCACGCTGATCCAATCATTATTTTGGGAGAGCCTAGGCCTGTACCAGCCGTGCAGCTATAATTAAACTATCGTAGGACAATGTGACGAGAAAGACTTGCCTGCAACTTGATCGACATAGTAAGGCACTTTCTTCGACGCCGATAATTTCCTTTTCCTCCCGCGAGAACCGATCACCGAGAATCCGTTGTCCTCCCCTTTAATAAAAACGATCCGCTGTCGTCGCGTTCCGACAACTGCGTAGACGCGGAAAATATTCCCGGAGATTCAAAAGTTCTTGATCCGGCGCTGCGCACACGATTCGCACGCGACACAAAAGCGTGCACGGGACTAGAAACAAGACCTAACCCGACACAACATTTCGCCCGAACTTTGCATCGGCACTGGCATGCTCTCCCGTCGCTTTCGACATGCTAACCAACACCGATATTACAACTCCGTGGATACCGCGCGGAACACGCGCACTTCCCATGCGGAATCTACGCTCTTGCGCGGTCAAGCGGAGTCCGTCGGATTGGCGAATTTCTTACGTGGATGGTACACATTTCGAGCGACGAATCGCCGATGACAGATCAAGTGGTATTGTTCGAGCAACAGATACGAGAAAAAAACAGACGTTTCGATTGTCGAGTGTGGGCTAACAGCTTAACTATCGCACGCTGACTCCTGCCCGCTCCGCCTCGTCTATTATTACCGATCTTCGCTCGTGTATTAAAATCTGTAATCTAATACCTGAATGATTCTCTATCGCCGCGCTCTACGGTCGTGCGAAAATTCATTTGATTCACACGAATGATGCTCCGTTAAATATTCGTACGCATTTAGTCGCTCCACGAGGTCAAGCTGTCACGAATCTATGCGCATTCGATCCATCGATGATTTGCACGCGATCATCGACTCCGATAACCAATGCGTTCAGATACATCGCGAATCGTCGGAAATGTTTCTAGAATTTAACCCTTTGCACTCGGAAGTTTTTCACTAGAAATGTTTAAACGTTTCCCGATGAGATCAAGATATTCCGTACTCGTACAGAAATCATTACGTTCAAGTACAGAACTATATTTCAATATTCCTCAAACTGACGCGTTACATAAGGTACAATATCAAATATTAAATTTTATAGTTTTCTGTGAAATCAAGTGGCGAGTCACTTATCGAGTGCAGAGTTAATACGCAAATCATTATGATAATGTCTTTTATATCAGCATCATAGATTCTCTTGGAATCCATGTCATCTGACATTTTTGAATTTCTCTAATTACTTTCAATATTGGTCCAGCAGTTCTAACGGACAGAAAACAGCTTAGACGTGGGAAAAGTAGATTTATTAATAAGTCTAAGGTTCACTGAATTTATCATGTATAGATTAAAATTCAGGGCCGTCGGTAGCTGCTCGGCGCCCAGACACTCGCTCGATGACTCATCTGTACACGTCACACGATTTCTGTTTTATCATACGAAATCGTGGAGCATTAGGTAATCACGAACCTGTATGAAATTATGTAAATTCTATCGATTCGAAGTCGAGAAGAATTTATACCACCATCTCTCTCTCTCTCTCTCTCTCTCTCTCTCTCCTTGTCCTGGCCAACAGGTTAAGCCGATCGGCGATGGTTCAAGTTTACGCCAGGAATCAGATCTACGCGTTACGTAAGTCCTAATCGCTTCCTATGCGTATCGTCGTAGGTGTATATTCGATTTATGCAATTCCGCGAACCAGAACGTTCGAGGCGCGACAGTTTGCGTGGCTCGTTAGAAATAATTGAAGTTATCGAACAAGAATCACAAGGTTGTTGACGGGAAGCGTGTATAAGTTGCGAGTACAGGTCGCCTCAAAATAAACGGGCACCGCTCGAGAAGAGATACGATCGTAGTTCGACGAAACGAGTCGATATACGAGCCTCGCAACTGGCAATTGTTTGCGCCATCGTTTCGAGATCCTGCGTACTTATGCGAACGCCTTCCGGAAGACAAATTACCTGACATTTTCAATAGATGGCGTGTTGAATGCCACAACAATGGTTCACACGTACCGAGCTACGGAAATTTCGGTTATATTTTACTGATGAGCTATGTTGATTTTTTTCTAATGAAATATTAAGGTATATTCAAGTTCTAGGTAATTCTTATATATTTTTATGCTGTACCTCTGTTCTGATCTGTAACCATCCGTGACCATGTGTCCAAATATTTTCTTACAGAAATTCGCGTGTACCGTATACACGTGGCACTGAACGTGTCAATGAATAGACACTGCGGATTATGCATTAGCGTGCATTGTTACGTTGAGATTCAAACGTGAACGATTTAACACGTTGAATATTGAAAATGGAACAAATATTAAACCATTTGTTGAATTGCGTTATTATTGCATGTTCACCTAGCTGAACACCGCAGGTAGCATTGTTTATAATATAGAAATGTTTTCAAATAATCCTCGTTTAATTGAGTGAACTATAATTTAATTTGGATAACAACCTGGAGTGCTAAGGGTTAATTTACTTATTGATCATTTCAATATTTTCATCAATCTTAACACGTTGTATGCCATGGGGGTCACCAGTGACCCCCAACCAAGTCGAATTACATTTCTATATTATAAATAATGCTATCTAATGTGCTGACATTCAGCTAGATGAACCTGCAATAATAACAATGCAATTCAATCAAATGATTCAATATCATATTCTTTCCATTTCAAGTATTCTGTACCATGAAATCGTGCGGCATTCAACGTATTAAAAATTCAGCCAAATGGGAAACCGTGAAAATTACAGCGTGAACATGTTAATCAATTTTTAATCTTATTTATGGCCAGAGGACTGAGAACTGTATGCTTACACTTCATTCTAGGTGAACAACGATTTTTCTAATTCGCGGATCATCGTGAAGGCAACTGGCGATGCACATTTGTCTCGGTCGGTCTCCATGACGAGGACATCAAACAAACGATTATTGCTTTTGTGAGGAGCGTTATATTCGAGAATGCCGCAAGCCATGCCAGAAACTGCGATCTCGCCGTTGAGTCTATCTTCCCTGAGCGCCTCGACCGGCTCGAGGGAGGAGCCGAGCCATTTTCCTGCCGGAAAAAGGCTGCCACGATGCGTGCGACGTAAATTTCAAGCGTGCTCCCAGCTACCTGTAAGATGTCGTAGGCCCAGCCCGTATTATCGTCCGCACAGGACGACTTACCTGAGACTTGCCGGACTCGCGACGATAAATTACAACGGCTCGATAAACACGGCGAAAAGCTGCCCGGATAGGTTAACATGCGCGCCAATGTTCCACGCGATCGGCCCCTCGGCTTGCAAGAAGAGCGTGTCCATGATTGATCTCACGCAATCCACGATGGAGCCGGAAAACGGCGATCTCAGGTAGTTCATGGAATAAATCAGCCGCGGGGGAAGATTATAAATTTCAGGGATCATCTTATAGGTGTCTAGCGTGACTAGGGTCAGATATTAACCCTTTGCACTCGGGAGGTGACTCTCAGTCACCTTATGATTCGGTACGAAACTGTGAAGTTGAATATTTAACCCTTTGCACTTGAAGGTTTTTCACTTGAAATATTCTGTAGCTTCTAATGAGATGTGGACAGGATTGTTTAAAATGAATTTATCAAGAAATCACATAAATTAGGGATCTAAATTATAATTAGATAAATTAGGGCAGGTCAATGTGTTAATTATAATACTATAACACTACTACGTGTTTGATATTGATGTTGCTATAGATTGATTCGTACGTAAAGGAGAATGTAGATCGTGTTGTACACTGACGCTTCCTATTTATTTAGATCGGACAGTAGCACGACCCTGGAGAAGCTCGAGGACGCCGAGAAAGTTTACGGTGGAAACGACGTCGGACTCGGTGTCGGTATCAAGAACTGGATGGACGGATTCGTGTCGGCGGAGTCCGAGGAAGGGGGCCCGGGATTTTTTCAAAATCCAAGAAAAGCAGCGAGCCTGGTGTGCCGCGTGCTCGTGGTGAACGCGTGGAGGCGCAGGCGCGAGGAGGCGCTCTATCTTCGCGACACGATCGACAATTTGACACAGAACACCGGGCACCTACAGTTGCAAATCTCTGTGCTGCGTCGGTTGATCGACACGGAGAACAACCGTGTTGCTCGGCTGACCGGCGAGGCGAACCGTCTCAAAATGCAATTGGATGAGACCGTGAAACAGAGGGACGCGCTGAAAACGGTAATCCATTGCATCGAGTGTACGGGATGCGACAATGTTATCCGTTAATACGTTGACTGCCAGGAAAAACAGTCTTTTACGTATCACTTATACATCTTAGAAAGTTAATAGGAATTATTATTAACATATTACTGGCTAATTTTCAGAAAATTGAATTGTGGCAATTTTTACTGAGGTCAACATATCACTATACATAGAAACGCTTAGATATCATATTGTTATGTAGTATATTTTAAATAGATAATCAATTTGAATCAAATTTCATATTTTTCTAAGTACTAGTAAATTAGCAAAACCGGCTAATTTTCAGAAAACTGAATTGTGGCAATTTCTACTGAGGTCAACATATCACTATACATAGAAAAACTCAGATATCATATTGTTATGTAATATATTTTAAACAGATAATTCGAATTAAATTTTATATTTTTTCAATGCTGTAATTAGCGAAGTTATAGCTAAGTGTCTTCATATAAAAACTAGATTTCTCGTTACCTTGCTACCACAATTACGTTGCAATATTACCTACTCATTCACGTTATTGAATACTCTTATTCTACAGTTCTGATGAATTATAAATGTTTCCAAGTAATTTCACCAGTGACCACTGGCAGTCAACGTAACCACTTGCGCTGTAAATGAATTCAGATATTCAGCAGTCTTGCACAATGAATTGTTTTTATTTTATTAATTGGACATTAATTTAAATTATCTCATCGTCAAATGTTAAATATTTCTAATGAGAAATGTCCAAGCGCAAAGGGTCAACCGTTCAATCGTTCGTAACATTGTTGCACCGCGTAAGTTTCCCGTAGTCATATCGAATCAACTGATCGGTTTCCGTGTAACAATGTTGACTATCGTCGATCGATGCGAGCGCTCGATTCATTGAGTTGCGTAGGACCTGGCGTGGTAGGCTCGCGTGCATCTATAACGTCCGCGGAACACGAGAGTTCAATGACGTGTATCTAACTAGAGGGATGACGCTAGCGTGAGCGCTCGCGACACATGTTTCAGAGGCGCTCAATAATGCGGTTCACGAAAGAATTCAGCTGCCGGTGTTGCGCCGGCTACCGGGAAGCTGTTACCAAGCAATGTATTCCTAGCGTACGAAGCTCATGTCTCAATAACCTCGAGAATACTCGTCCATCCTTCCGTCCGTCTATTGGAAACTTTCCCGCCGCTTTCATTCGTTCCCCGACAAAAGGAACAAGCTTTGTAAAGTTCATTCTATTTTCATTTCATTTGTCCAACCGCGCGCGCGCGTAGCTTCCTGCCGATTGGCCGATATACCGATATGCGTCGCGGCGATTAATTAGTATGTACGCCGGTAGACACGGCAGCGAGGCGTTGGCACCGGTCCAGCGGCTAATTGTGAAGCGAAAGAAGGAACTGTATCGCGCCGCGTGCGACGCTCGTCGAAATAGACGAAACCCGGAGTCCTGTTCTAGATAGCTCTCGGGGATTCACGGGCGTACGTTCGACGCGTTGTGTATATTCTGACGAAGTGGGTTACCCTTCTGTTGCAGGGAAAAGAGAGGATGGAGGAGGAGGCGCGGCGGTTGCGCGAGGTCGCCGAGGAGAGGCTGGTCGCCGCGGAGAACGTGCGGAACGAACTGATCACCGCGAGGGATCAGCTCCGCGCGCTGGACGAGCAGATCTCGAGGGACCGGGAGAAGCTGCTCAAGCTGCGGGAGGACAAAAGAACGCTGCTCGAAAAGGCTAGCTTCAGCGTCGAGAACTCATCGTTCCTATTCACTCGTGAACTTCGCACGAGGTCTATTTCGAGGTTCTGAAAAGCTAAACCGTTAAGCTGGTAGTTAACTGAACGTCGAAATAGATTTACGGCCACCGCCGTACAAGGGTTAATCACCGTCCCCGCAAGTTGTACGCGAGCTTCCACAAGCGCCTCGTCGGCCGCTGCGAAAATTGATTTCACCGGATGACTCATTGCCGTGCTCGTGACAGACGAGAGAGGGTGAACTCGGTTCGATGCGAATTTCCACCGCCTTCTACGAGAGAATGAGTCATCCCGTCGCCCTTCCGAGTTCATAGAACTCCGCGGAGCTCGATCCCTTTACCTCGTTGCGCGACGCCGGTTGTGCACGGGACCTTAGCTCTTTATCGTCCAAGATGACTGGCACTTGTGGATCAAGGATGGCAATTGGGACGAGCACCTCGCGGGCGGGTACGCGCGTTAGGAGATATAGAGCGGCGTTGAGTCACGTTTCTTTAGTGCCATCGGTGACTCAATCTAATGTAACACTCGTTCGTTTCGGTACGTGGAAGCGGGGATCGATAGCTGGTTGACCCATTTCGTTTCCGTTCGACGGAGATCGGCAACGAAAACCGCGGGAATATCGCGCCCCTCCGATCGCATCGCTCGCGGCCGGGTTTCGCGTGCGGTGCGGCTCGGTTGCAGGCCGGCCGTTCGTGTCGTTTATCTCGACGGTTTATCGACCGTTTCGCGGAATTTATATGCAAGAATGTTAACGGTACCCGGAATTTCGAGCGCGCGGGATTCTTGTAGGTGACGGCCGGCGAAACTTTGGCCACCGAAAGGGGCGCGAGGGCGGAGAAGGCCGAATCCGCCGCGGAGGAGCTGCAGCTCAAGCTGACCGCCCAGATCATTTTGGCCGAGACCTCGCAGCAGCGGATACAACAATACGTCGAGTAACTGGCCGCGCACCGATCGTCGATTCACTTGCGACTCTTCCTTCGTTTTACTCGTGTATTTTATTTGTTTTATGTATATTTCAAAGGGCTGTAGTACGTTAACACTAGAACTGCTAGATACACGTTGGGTGCCATGGTCACTGGTGACCTCGATCAAATCAAATAATAATTAAATAATAATAATAATAATAATAATAATAATAATAACAATAGTAATAATAGTAATAGTAATAGTAATAGTAATACTAATAGTAGTAATAGTAATAGTAATAGTAATAGTAATAATAATAGTAATAATAATAGTAATAGTAATAGTAATAGTAGTAGTGTAGTAGTAGTAATAGTAGTGGTAATAGTAGTAGTAATAGTAGTAGTAATAATAATAATAGTAATAGTAATAGTAATAATAATAATAATAATAATAGTAAATAATAATAGTAAATAATAATAATTATATAATTCATTCAATTAAATGATTACTTGACAACTTTTCTGTATTACTAGCAATACTACGTAATACATTCAACAAGATAAATCTGCAACGCATTTCAATGATATAAATTGATATTAGATTATTATATATATTCTCTGCAAAATCGTGCGGCACTCAACGTGATTCATAATTCAGTCTGAGCATTGACAAATCAATTTCTCTGATAACTCCCAGAGGCATCTTTTTAATCGCGGAAGGAAGAAGTCAGTGGGTCATTTTGACTCGTTCGGGTTCTAGCGTTAATGTAACTACGTACTAGGGAGTTGAAGACAAGAGAAGACGAGAAGGTCGAATTGGAGAAGCGCTTGAAAGCCAGCGAGGAAACGGGGAGGTCCCTGAATTTGCGCGTCGCTTGCCTGGAAGCTCACTTAGCTGACCGCGAAGTTTCTTTGAGACGCGTCGAGGCTACTTGCAGTTCGATGTTGTACGTTCACTTTGTTGATTCAGATGACACGTCCCTCCTCCTTTTATCGCTTTGGAATATTCTAGGTCGGAATTGAACGAGCTGCGAGAGCGAGTGATAAGGCAGTCCCAGGAGGGGGGTTGGAGCAGCAGAATGTTGCAAATCGCCGGCACCGTTGTTCGTGCCCCTGGGGTCATTCTTCGGACTTTATTGTCCACTACGGGGCCAGTGCTAACTTCTTAAAGGTAGTTGGAACGTTTAACCCTTTGCACTCGGAAGTTTTTCATAGGAAATATTTGATATTTTGTAAACTGGTAGAGAAATCATGTACACTAGAGGAAAAGGCTATTTTAACAGTAAAACCACCAGAGGGGTCAAATGACCCATGCCTGATTTTTGCAATTATTAGAAAGGTAACAAATGTTTCTTTCTCACGGTGATTTCAGGTGCAGTTCATCAGAATGTTTAGCACCGTTGAACTGAAACGCTTCGAGAAGTGGAACTTCTGATTCAGCGACGAGAGCTGATCCAAGACGGAGGACTGGAGGAAAGTGATCAATGAACGAAATCGCGAGGAAAAGCTCGAAGATCGTGCAAGAGTCTCTTTCGAATATTAAATCTGCGGGCATTCTACTTATTGCGGAGATTAGAATACTTTATTTTGTATTTTTTTTTATTTCGAACACTTTTCTGATATTGTCTACTTGATATTTACTGAAAGAGCGTATCACTGACGAAACTGGTATCCTTGGAATGGATGAAATAAATATCGATATCGGGTGCCTTTTTTAACTCTATATTTTACACTTTTTTTTTCTCGTGTAACATGATAAAGTGATAAAAATAATGTACCGTCAGCATTGCTGTGCATTAGATAATAACCTATTCGTTTCACATTGCAAATCAACAACAAACACATTTACATAACCGGTATACATGTATATATACACATGCGATCGTGGTCGAACCGCGTTTTACATAACAACTACGCGTTTCTTAATACTAATAAAAATGTAATATATATATATACATATGTATACATATATATTACAAATATATCTTCACATTATGTATATATATATTATATATATTACAGTAATATACATTATAACATATATTATAATCATATAAATTATATCATATATAATATAAATACGTTATAATATATATTACAATTATATAAACGATACTATACATAATATAAATATATATAATATACATATATATATGTAATATACGTACAAGCGACTCATATATTACATGTATAAGTGTTTACAACAGAGAGCGATACTCACGGTATATTATTTTTTCCAAAAACACGCCACGATAGGTCGGTTAAATCTAAGTAACCCACGAGTGACACAAGTACGACGTGTCTGATCACAATTCTCATTATTGTGTACTTAGAGAAAAGTACATATGGTAAAATTAACGATTCTCACGGTTCGTTTCGGTAACAATCGCCATATTCGTCGCGACGCCTCTCGCCGATCGTGGTTAACCAGGGGGCACGAAGTTTCACTGGAAGAATTCGTTCGTTATCACAAAAATCGTTTCGTGTTCGGAGCGCGATACGCCGGATTGTAGCACGTGATTTCTCGCTAGTCGACCTACGGGTACTCTTGTCATGCCGTACGTTATAATTAGACGCATCCTGCTACCTTTAAAGAAACGGTGTGTAACGAGAGAGAAAAGAAATACGGAGAGGTAACACACACGGTGTACGTGGGAGAGAGAGTTTCCTACTAAAAGTACTCACTAATCAACAAATCATCGGGACGACGTCGCGTCTACGGGCGAAGCCTAAGTCGCCGTCCCTACGTTCTTTGGTTCTGATTCCTTACGTGTATTGCTCGAGTAATAATGTTAATCCTCTCATTTTCGAATACTGTGTGTTCGTGTACGCAGAACAACTCAAACGTGTGACCGGTGATATGAAGGTACATTAGGTACATCCTCGAAGTACGAGCTCTTCCTTCGTTTCCGGTGTCCGTTCTCGCAAGACTGTACAGTGGATTCTAGCTCCTGTCTATTTCAGGCGACAAAAAGTTGCACTCGTTTCGCCAGTCGAACGTTCCCAAATCCCCTAGCTCGGTTCCCATTGAACCTGTTAACCGGGGAGGTCGAGCTCATTCTATTCACCTATGTACGAGTTTCTCCTTTCCTTTGTTCATTTAATTGAAATGTATGGCTATATCGACTACTTTGTATTTATTACCGGTTCAAATGATTTCGATTCTTATTCATCGGTGAATACTTCTGCGGTTCTCATGGTAGAAAAGTCACCCGGTTAACAGGCTGACGCGTAACAAGTGTTCCTAGTACGTTAACCTACGACAAACCTCGATACAATGAATTGAGCGATTCAGATGTTCGGCTCGAATCGCTCGCGTCCGTATCACCGTTTTATAAAAACTTGTTTCGCCACGAGATCGTGGCGAGAGTATCAATGTGTCCGCGTGTTATGTTTCTCGAATGATTGGATTGTTCTCTGGCGGTCTCCCGGGGGAACGGAAAAAACGGTCGTCTGAAAAGTCGCCCGGTTTGTCCCGGTGTACATGTATCAAAACGTTGCGACAGAATCTCTTCGTCACCCTCGATCGCACGCGCGGCGATCGAGGGAGTGTCACAGTTTTGACGTCACGAAACGTGTCGCTAATGACGAACGGAAAGAACTCTACAAATAAATACTGTTTTTTCTTTTTTCTTTTGTAATATCAGCGCGTTTTCGATGAGACTAGAAACGATCGATCGTTGAATCCCCTCCATTAGATCATACCGAAACCTTCGGTGCCTTCGCTGATCGCCAACAGCAGCGCTTTCTCGAAGTGATCGTAACATTCGTAGTCCGGCAAGCAGAGTTGATTGAAGCTGTGCAGAAAAAAAGAAAAAGAAGGATCACGTTTTATCGTGAAGAAGATTATTCGTGATGAACACCTTTAACCCTTAACCGAGGAGGCTAATTTTCATCTCATTCTTGTCTCAATAGGTTTTTGTTTTACACATAATTAACGTTCGCTACCGGCATGTATTTGTGACGGATGTAACCATGTATTTTACATAATGAGAATGAAGTTAACCCTTTGCACTCGAGAGCTGACTCCAATTGATTTGGTGCAGTGGAACTATAAATGTGTGAAATATTGAGATAAGCAAGCTTTGTTCCTCAATTCACTTGTGACCTCTCAGAGTTAATTTAATTTAAAATTTTTTTAACATTTGAGTTAATTTAAAAAAATATCGTCTTTGTCTAGTCAGCAAATGTTAAGTATTTCTAGTGAAATACTTCTGAGTGTAACGGGTTAATCCTGAAGATATTATTATTAGAAATAATCTACGATTACATTTAGAGACTCAATGCCTCGTTTCATTTTTCTATTTTCTTCAAATTTATTGGACTGAAGAAAATATTGAAACCGTCACCGAAATAAGCGCTGGTGGCGAACGCGTTAAGACACAGTAAGTACCATAGAATCTCCAAAGTAACCGTGCCAACAGTTACGGGTTAAACGTTTCATTGTGGAGACGAATCCACTCGGTTCGTTACCCGGAAACGGTCGAGCGTACCATGTGTGCGCTGTGGGCAAGTTGGCGAAAGTCGGCGCAGCTGTGATCTGAAACCGCGGGCTCAGCTTCTGGAATCCGCCTGGTGGTAATTGCGAGCAGCCCGTGGTGAACTGCAGCAGCCGAGCCATCTCCTCCTGCGTGAAGTTACTGACCGCGGTCCAGAACCAATCCAGAACGCGAAGGAACTCCCGGGAATTTCCGTTCGCGATGTGGTGAGCTCGTAAATCTGCCACGCTGTACTCGCCTGTTCCGCACAGCAGCAGCTGCAACGGGGAAACGCGGAATGGGTACGGCCATTAAACGCGCGGGGAGATATTTTCGTAGGCGGCGAAAGCCTCTGTTTATACTTCGAGTTCGTTCTCGTCGAAGATGCCCAACAGATTGTCGGGGATCAGCTCGTTGAGGCCGCGCAGGAAATGCTCGACTTCGTTCCTGACCGACGTCGCTAGCCTGTGCTGCGCCAACGCGTCTAAATAACGCAGTTTCGTGTCGTTGGTCACGCGGATCTTGGTGCCTCCTGGGATCAACTCGGCTACCTGTTACAGAGAAGACAAGTGGTAGAAGTGGTAGATACTGATGAGATTGCAACTGTTTGACGTACCTTCAGCAACTGCCCGTCTTTGTCATATTCCTCTTCGACGAAGTACAACTCCATTTCCTCCACGTCGTTCTCCAGGATGTATTTGATCTTGCTTAGGTACAAATCCGGGTCGTCTTGCTCGAAATACTAGCAGGGAATATGAGTTTTTGAAATTAGTTCTTGCAATGAGTAGGCATCGTTGCTTTATAATAGAATCTTAACACTTAGCCAACTGAATGAGGAGATCTGCCACTTTTCACTTAGCGTACTGCCTCTTATTCTGTTTATTTTTTGTTGTTTAGTAAGTCTCAAAGTGGGATTACTTGCAATTTATCAAATACGGTTATTTTTACAAAACAAGGTTTTAACCAAATTGCATGAGTTCAATTGAAGATAATGGAAGAGGTAGTTATAGTTCTTTCTAGTTGCCTAAGTCTTAATGAAAATGGTACTTTAGGTTTTAACCAAATTAATTGTATGTTCAATTGAAGATAATGGAAAAGGTAGTTATAGTTCTTTTTAGTTGCCTAAGTCTTAATGAAAATGGTTTAGCCTATCTTCAGTGCATACAGATTTATTTCTGAGTTTTACCTTGTAATGCACTCTGAGGCCAATGATCTGCGCGAGGAAGGACCTGGTGAATCTTGCGCGCACCAGTTGACGATAGGAGCCCCCTAAGGCGGATTCGAAGAGGCATTTGCCCACTATACGACCGGCGAACTCGTAGTGCTTCAACTTTAGGTGCGGGGCCCGTTTGTTATTGGGATGGACCAAGCCTTGCGGTGACTCCCCGAAGCACGCGAACAGCCCGTTTCCGGAATCGAACAGCGCGGCGCATATCAATTCGAACCATTCCCGTCTGACTCCGCCCAAGTCCACGCCTGAAATATCACGTATTACTTTCCCTGTAAATTAAACGGGCATCCGTCACGCCACGCTAAAGTGTACCTTGTTCTCCTTGAAACGTGATCTCGAAGTTCCTACACCAATCGGTCACGGAGAATCCCTTGGTGACTTTCATCGACTTCGAACAGAGAATATTATTATAATCGCATTTTCACAATTATCATAATTATTATACAAATCGCGTTGGTGTAAACAATGAGAATCATGTTTCTTTGAGATTTACCGATTCCAATAGCTTGTCCCGCTGGACTTTCATGGAAAGCTTCTCGTGGTAGTGCTTCAGGTGATACTTCCGAACCTCGTGGCAAAAGAAAAGTTGCTTGTCGGCGAACGTCTCGCTTCCGCCGATGTTCTTCAAGAGGAACAACGTAAACGTAGCAGCAATTATGTCTCTGTAGAGGGAAATTAATTCGACCGGCGGCTGGCATCCGTCGTCGATTGAGAACGAGTCGTAGCCGTCGTACTGATTGCTCGAACAATTAAAGTGGAACTGAAAGTCATTGTTTATCGTTATCGAGCGTGATACAGGGCTCGCAGGGAACCTGTAATCTTGTTTATGAAGAATTCACCTTGGTCGACGGGCAGAGCCGGAACGTGACTAGCCTCTTCGGTATTATTCGCAGCAGATACTCTTTGATCGTGAGTTGTTTAGGCGAGATGAAACAAAATACTTTCTTCGGTTTCGCGAATCGCTCGCCCTGCATGCCCAACAGCTTCGCCGCGTAACAAATGTCGGGGTCCTTCGAGGCCACGTTACTGTGCACCATTCTCGCGACATCACCTAAGGCAATTTTGATCATCACTGTTGTGTACGTGACGCGTTAACCCTTTCGCTACTACTATTTAACCATGAACGTATTTTTGTTATTTGTATTGTCTCAAGGATTTGCTTCATTTTCATAGTATTCAAGTGAAACTATTTTCAAAGTCATTTCGAATATTCAATGCTTTGAAGATATTGCGAAACAGAAAAATTGAAAGTCACTTTCTGGTACGGTAGTTCTAGTGTTAAATATCAAAATTTAGTTTCACTGTGTCAAATTAAGTGACTGAGTCACCTCTCGGTGCAAAGGGTAAACATTTTCGTTATATAAAATATTTGATTGTAAAATATGATTGTAAAATATAGGATTGCGACGCTGGTAGCGAACGTGTTAACAGTAAAACTACCATACGGGACAAAATGCCCTATTCCTCATTCCTTCTTGCAAATGTTAAAAAGATAACAAATGTTTCTCTGAGAAATTATTAAAGAAATTAGTTTAGTAATGCGCAAACTGAATTGTAAATCACTTAAAGTTTCAGTACTTCGCGGCGAGGAGCAAAAAAGTTAAAAGAGAACAAGATCCGTACTCTCTAGCACAATGATGTCGAAGTCTCCGTTGTGCAGTTGCAGGCCGGACAAGCTGACAGTCGCGTGATAGCAGCCGCCTTTCGGGAAGCTGACTTTCACGCGGATTCTCTGGTTCGGAGAGTCGTAGTCCAGCTGTATGTCGCAATTCGGTCCAGATGATTTGTCTATCGCGCTGCCAATCTGCAACAAGAATAAGCAAAATTAACTATTCCTGCATGAACTATTGAGTAACGTCAACGAGCGATCCCCTATTCATCCATAACTATTACTCATCTAGACAAGCTAGTACTAATGATCTTGCCTGAGTAATGTTGATCTCATAGCCTTCGGTAGGTTTATCACCAGGCCCGAATATACATAAATTGTCGTACTCGTCCCTGGGCTCTATCATCATGCTATGCGCAATGCCAGCAGTACAAACCACCGTGGAACTCTGTCGAACGAAGATGGTCTTGTTTGGATCCGGAGGACCTGCCACGTCAAAATCAAATTATAGCTAGTCGCAGCCTTGTCTTTGAGACAATCCTAGACCTATTGTAAGAGGTGCCGGTGTCGGTAGAGGATCAACAGCGAGCGTGTAGATATCTGTTGAAGTGAAACAGTTCCCCAGAAGACTCCTCTTACAAAAAACTAACACGTAGCCATAATGAAGTGTTGAAGCGTTCATGTAAACCGCGGCAGTGGTTCGCTGTTGATTCTCAACCCGAACAGGCGCCGGCACCTTTTACACTATCGCATTATCAGGTGACCATACCGGGTAGGAAATTCTTAAGAAACGGGCTGCCGTGCACATGGCACGATCCAATCAGCACGGCTATCCGGTATTGTCCAGCATGGCGGACGGTGAACTTGACGACTGCGGTGTTCGCGGCCAGCGGGTCGGTGCCTCCCAGTTCTATCAGAGTGGCTACGCGCCGGGAACTCTCGGTGACCTCCACTATCAGGTTGTCCTTGTCGCAGATAGGGTAAGGCTGGCCGTTGCGTTGGTAAAACTGTCAAGGAAACAGCAGCGAAGCGGTGAGATCTTGACACAGGTCAAAGGTGCGTTTAACCGGCAATTAAGGTAATTGAGGGACATTCAATCTGCGTCTCAGAGCCGGACGTAGGACGAGGTGACGCGGCACGTTCCTCGGTGCTTATTAGACCAGCGGTAAATTAGCTTAACACGTTGAGCGCCGGCTCCGCGATAATGCTGGATTTTTAGTCTACCGTTTAACGCACAGTTTTTTTGAAGAACCGGCCAAAAAGAATCAATTTTGATATACTGCGCTTTTGTTTCATGGAGAAAGGCTGTATTTTATTCTTGAATGAATAAGTGTTATAGCTTGCAATCCCATGTAAATGATAGATATCAATAAAACGATTTTTTTTTTTAACTTGGACATTAACCCTTTGCACTCGAAGGTTTTTAAATAGAAATATTCGATAGAAATTTAGATACAATAACACAAATCGAAAGTAAAATTTACAAAATCGAATTCCTTATTCTCTTCGGCAAATTAGAAATCTTGGTTTAATCGACGTTTAAAAATGCATCGATATAATCACCGACGTTTTCGGTAGCTGAAATTTAGCCGGCGTTCAATGCGTTAACGGCGCGGAAGGTACCTTGACGGTGAACGTCATCGTCTCGCCCACCAGCTGCGGCTCTTCCCATTCGAAATGGACTCGGCAGTTGCTCGGCAGAAGATACTTCCCTGTCACGTACTGCAACAGGGTGCGCTTCGCTTCCGGCGCCAGGGCTGGCTGCGTCATGGCCGCCAGGATCACCAAGCCCGCCATAGACACGGACACCACCAACATCCCACCTGGAAGGGATCGTACTGATTTAAAAATAATCATTTTTACAGTCCTTTCATTATGATTTCCGTGCGGTAACAGTCCATTTTCTGATTAACACGTTGAACGCTGCACGATTTCATAGAGCATTTCCTTTGAACTCCAATATTGCAGTAGTTACAATATTAAATATTTTAATGATTCTTAACCCCTTGGCTCAGAAAAATTTTAAGCATACGCTATATTTCCTTTTAAGTATGATAGTTGAATACAGAGGAATAATATTTACTTTGAAGTTGAATGAACTGAGTAATATATATATATTTGTTGAATCATGTTGAAAATATTCACCAAGAGTCTGATTTGTTGTTGTAGAGGAACGGGTTAAAGAAACTACCCTAAAATTACTCAATTCTTCACATCCAAATTTTGCACTGACAAGGAGAATAAAAGATCTAAGAGATGTATTTCTAATTTTCGCTAGGAATACTAAAAATTAGTTGCTGATAGACTACAAAACAACCTACAATGCTAAGGGTTAAGAACTATGATACAGAATAATTAGTGACTAATTCTAATACCATTTGCTTCTGTTATACGTTAAGTGACATTGTACAAAAATTAGTTGCTGATAGATTACAAAACAACCTACAATGCTAAGGGTTAAGAACTATGATACAGAATAATTAGTGACTAATTCTAATACCATTTGCTTCTGTTATAAGTTAAGTGACATTATACGAGACGCTCTAAATGCTCGTGGCGGTCAACGTGTTAATATTCAACTGTCTAACTCGACAAACAAAGTACCCCATGTCCACGCGTGCTGGTGCTGACTGTTCTTAACTACTGCGCTCCACAGATCAGCCTTCAGTGTCTCTAAGTCTTCCTTGGACGTGGGCAGCGTCTGTCTAGCCTCTATCCATCGCGGCAGATCCTTACCAAGTGCTGCCCTCGCAGCGTTGTCCTCCACCCAGTACACGTCCTCCAGAGACATCACTTCCATTTGCATCAGCCTGAACAAACAAAGAAGATGAATCTATCTTCGTACAAACAATAAATATACTTCAATGAATAAATAATTATATTTCACCGTTTGAGTAGAGATCTTTAACCACTTGCATTGGAAATGCATTTAGAAATTTGGCAAAGTTTCTTTTTACCTATTTCACACTGATATGTACACTAATTTTGTTTGTCAATCATTCTGTATGGAGTGAGAATTTTCGGATAGAAACGTCTCGTGGCACGTCTTTCCAGCGCAAGCGGTTAAAAAAACACGGTCGGAAGAAGCCGAAGCGCAATAGTGTCTTCCGAATGGAATGCGAAAACATCCGAGTGACGCGATAGCACTCCTTTTATTCTGCGTCGAGAAAAGCCAAAGCAAGATAGCGCTTGTCTTGACACGTTCACACCGGCGCTAATTTCCACTCTTTCCCATTTGGCGGCTGATTCTCAAGATTGATAGAAATATTGAAATGAACAGTAAGTAAATTAAGTCTCAACTATATGGAAATGGTTCCTAATTACCAAACCACTTGAGCCACATATTTGATGCTGCACACCGTCTAATGAGCCAACACTATCTAATGTGATATCTTACTAGCCACCGGTGGTACGCCGGTGTGAACGTGTTAATCTATGTTAATACTATTATATATATTAGTATACTACTGTATAATTTCATACTATTGTATTACTATTGTATTATTTATAATTTCATACTGTTGTATCACTATTGTATCATTCATAAGTTAATACTACTGTATATAATAGGACTCAAACGGTTAACAATAAATTATAAAATTATAAAATAGACAACAATTCATATTGCGCCAGGACAATGATTCATATTTAACACTTTGCCACGTAAACGCTCATTAAAACTCTCAAGTGCTTGAAACAGTTTTCATTAACCAGAAACTGAGAAATCAAGATTCCTTGATAATTGCTCAATCTTTCTTATATCAAAACAATTAACCCTTTGCACTCGAGACGTGACTCCCAGTCACCACATGATTCGATACAACAAAACTATGAAGTTGAATATTTAATATTTCAGATTAAATGTTCCTCTATTACTTAATTTGTCTATGAATTATCGTTAAATTAGCTTCAAACAATATCACCTATGTCTCGTCAGAAAATGTTGAATATTTCTATTGAAAAACTTTCGAGTGCAAAGGGTTAATGTCCAAGTTTCTATAAAAAATGTCACCCGAATTCAAGTGACGGAGCAAAGTGTTAAACTAATCAGCTCGTCAAGATCCAGGACACATTTGGATCATTTCCCAACACTTCGTTAGCTTCCGAAGCCAAAATCTTCCGACAATCTTTAACGAAACGATTGCATCGAAACGAGACGAGTCCCAGGGGAATCCCTCACTTTTGGTAGTAGCTGTGTAGGCCGTGATCCTGCAACCACTCCAGCAAGACCAGCCTCTGCAGCAGCTGGCGTGCGGCGCGTTGCAAGCGTTCTTCATCCTGCGCCGGAAGTTGCGGTAGCGCGTCGACGTCGCCGCAGCTCGCGAGAGATGAGATGCCTGCAAAAAGTCGAAGACGATAAGTCAACTCTCCGCGGGCCTCGCGCTTTCCAGAAGAACGTGTATACACAGCTGGCGTTAACGCTGAAGTTCGGATGACGCTGTTCATTGTCATTTTTTTTTCTAATCAGGGACCGACAGGGAATCCAGCAGATAGCGGTGTGTATCATTCGCGGAGAACAGGAAGAACGTTTCAGATAAATCAGGGATCGCAGCCGGTCTCGCGCGTCCGCTTTCATTTGCGTCGCTGTTCGCGAGACTGTTTGACTTGTACCGCTCGAAATGCGCTCCGCGTCGCTGACCATTCTCTTGTGCATCTTCGAGTGTATCGGCGTCGTGCTCGCGATATGCACCGTGAGCGAACACCAAGGAGGTGAGGCGTATGTGTTCGACATACCGGGAATTTTTGAGAACTTATGATGGTGATGACCATTCAAGCTAGAGATAATTCTTCTTGCTGGTTTTACTTTGTATATGTGTTTGACGATCGAATAACATCGTGGTTCTAGGATTTCTAGATACAAGGAATAACACTAAAGCTACCAGACGGGTCAAAATGACCTATTCCTCATTCCTCCTTCCAAATGTTAAAAAGATAAATGTTTTCCTGAGAAATTATTAAAGAAATTAATTTACTAATGCGCAAACTGAATTGTAAATCACTTAAAGTTTCAATGGATGCACTTGTAATTTCCATACACAAATCTCAAAATGTCAATTCATCTGCTCGGTAGTTTTAATATTAATGCAACTCCTCTATGCTTCTTTCTTTTCCACCTTTCACCTCGTACATTTCCTAGTCTCTTTTCCTCCGTCAAGAGCTACCATACCTATTATTACTGCTAAAAGCACTATACATTATATAAATAAACGTCAACTCCTCAGATTCCGGTCGTCGCGTGCAATGCCAGAACGCGAGCTTGCACTCGGTGCTGTCTCAACCGTCATCCAACGTGGGTACAATGATGATCCTAAACTCGATGCTACGTCAGATACCGGAGCGAGCTTTCGACAATTACTCGACGAGCCTGCAGATCTTGAACATTCGCAAGTGCGGCATTAGGGAGATCCACGAGGGAGCTTTCTACGGGCTGGCCAGGTTGAAGAGGCTCAGCCTGTCCGACAACGACATCGCGGCGGTGAAGGAGGAGTGGTTCAGGGACACCGTCTACCTCGAACAATTGGACCTGTCCTACAACAAGATCAGCACACTGCAACCGATCATTTTCTCGAAAATGCTGCTGCTCAAGCGTCTCGACCTCACGGAGAATCGCTTGGCTTGCTTCGACTACAATAGCCTGCCCGGGGGCATCGATAAAGTCTACTTCGCCGGGAATCCCCTGAGCTTCCTGTGCCGCGGAAAGGTAAGAACTTTGAAGACTCTCGTGGAAATCGTGGTTTACAGTATGCGCGTCGTTGCTCTTTCTTGGACTGGTACGTTAACCCTTTGCACTCCGCTGGCTCTGTTATAGAGAGATAATTTGTCTGTTACGTGTCATGTTACATTGACCCCTTAACGCACAGTTTTTTTTTAAGAAAACCGGCCAAAAGAATATTAGAGAAGAATAGAGAAAATAGTGATTCCTACCAAGGAATACTATATATTTTCTCTTAGATCTGTTACTTTAATTGTGTTCTAGAAGCTTAGAATTTCCTTGGAACTACGGAACGCGTTTAGTGAATTCAAAGGCTCTATATTTGCTCTATAATTGCTTTTGATTGCTTTTGATTGATTTATGCTTTGGATATTTCACATATTTCATAGTATACTGTGCATTCTATGCAATATGGAGCCGTTGAATTCACTAAACGATGCGTTCCTTAGATTCAAGGAAATTCTAAGGCTCCAGAACACAATTAAAGTAACAGATCTACGAAAAAACAGTGTTTCCTACCAACGAATACTATATAATTGCTTCTGACTGACTTATGCTTTGAATTTCACACATTTCCCAGTATTATACATTCTACGCAATACAGAGCCATCGAACGAATTAAAAGTTCACAATCCAGTTCTAACGAATCGTCAGTACACGCGAGGCATCCTCGCGAGGGATTTCGCAAGTCGCAAGGGGTTAAGAGTTACAGAGTCCCCGGCGAGAGCAACGATGCGTCTCAAGCGAGGTTTGCGTATCGATTCCGAAACACTGCAGATGACACTGTGGATGCGGGACCACGGGGTGAGCTACAAGTCCGGGACCGACGAGAAGGAGACGTGGTTGGACAAGCTACTTTGGCTCTGCGCCATCGACGACCCGGCGGCCGCGGAATCTGAGCTGCTGATCAAACAGTGCGTGATCATGAATCTGTTCAATCAGCTGCGGACCGGTTTGACCACGGCCGATAGCTACCCCCGCTACTTCTCGAAATGCGTGGATCCTGGATACTTTCTGATCGACTGCGTACTGAAGGAAGCTGAGCCGCACCGGACTGACACGAACGCGAACGTGATCTCGAATCTTCTGTTGTACCTGCGGCACGCCAAGTCTGGCTGAGGATTTACATTTTTATTGTCTATTCACCTAACCTCTTGCTGTACTTCGACACGTTGAGAAAGATGTTATACTTTTTGTTTGACATCGGTGCGTGACACCGGCAGTGTCGAGGTTAACCCTTTGAACTCTAGGCTCCAATATTGCACCAGGAATAATGTTAGATATTTTAATGAATTTTAAGAAAACTACCTTAAGATTATTTGATTTTCCACACATCCAAATTTTGTACTAAGGAAAATAAAAGATTGAAGAAATGTTATAGCATTTCCTATTTTTGCTAGGAATACTATAAAAATTCCAGTTGCTGATAAATTACAAAACAACCTAGAGTGCTAAGGGTTAACCCTTTGAACTCCGTAGGCTCCAATATTGCACCAGTTCTAATATTAACCCTCTATGGGCCGAATTTTGTTTCGTGATAATAAGAAAATTTATGCAGCATGAAATTAATAAATATTAACGTATGAACATAAATTAACAATGTATTCAATAGTTTTAATACCTTTATTAACATACCTTTAATACCGCGATTATTGATATCTTGAAGGCATTGAATGTTCAAAATTATCTTGAAAAACAATAGTTCTACTTGAGTACTATAATGAATGTCTGAAGAAACTGAAAATAATCTATTGTTCCAATTTCTATAAGAATCGCATATTAATCGTATTAAATGCTCGGAAGTTTTATTGTTAACCCTTTGCACTCGAGGAGCGCCTTACAGTCGTCACCTGATTCGACGCAGGAAACTTATAAAATTTTCAATTCAATATAAAACCTTGTGTAATGTATCAACACGTAAAGCATCGAAGTAAAATAGTTCTGTCTCTTAATTTATAGAGGATAATCGACTGTGTTAGTTGCGAGAAATATCGTTAATATTTAGACAGAAAGTAATGAATACTTTCAATGAAAAATATTGTCGAGAGCAAAGGGTTAAACATGTGTTATTTTATAAAATTTTAAGAGATTCTTAAATCATCACGGTGCAAGAAGATTTTAGGTTATAAATGTATCGTTCGTTCATGGTGTTCGCGAAGAAAATATACGCAGTGCGTACGGTGTGGCCGAATGGGGAAGCATTCCACTTTGCGGCGTAAAAACCACCCCTACGCGATTGTTCAATCGATGCAGGGAGTTAACGATCAGGTCGTAAACGTGGAAAAGTCGAGAGCCGGGCGAAGTTTGATCGTCGTAGTACAAGCTTCCTCGAGGAATTTACAATTTCACTGTTTCTTCAGCTGCGGGCTGTATCCGCCACATGTGGCCGACGAGAAAAGTTGCAGTAAAAATATACAATCCAATAATAAGTGGTTCTTTATTGCGGGGCAATAGTACGCTACGATCTAAGAGAAAATAATCTGAGGATTTTCGAACCTGAATGGACCATGATCAATATGAAGATACTGCTATGACGATCAACATGAATATAAATATTAACACGACGGCTAAGATGAATATAAAGATACCTGTGAAATATAATATTTAGAACAGTGCTACGAATGAAACTGAAATATAAATTTTATTGTAAATTCATATGGAGTAATATAAATATTAATAACATAGATATTATGACGGTCAAGATGAATATAAATATATCTGTGAAATATAATATTTAGAACAGTGCTACGAATGAAACTGAAATATAAATTTTATTGTAAATTCATATGGAGTAATATAAATATTAATAACATAGATATTATGACGGTCAAGATGAATATAAATATATCTGTGAATTATAATATTTAAAAGACTACTATGAATAAAAATGATCTTCATGAATTTCAAGGCCAAGTTGAGTAAAAAATGATGTTTTCCGTTTAAATTGGTACTCACCGGAAGGAGCGCTGCCGCTGGGTCGCAGCGACATGCCAATGGACGATATCTCGTCGGCAAAGAAATAATTGTCGCGTTGTCCATGCCGGCAAGCTCGGTTTTTGTCCGGCATAATTACGCCCAGCTTGTCCTGGCCCGCCAGCGTTTATCGACTACAGGGCATTCCCTTTTCGTTCACCGTCGCATCGCTCCTCGCGTCACGAGGTCATCTTTAGCCCCCAAAACATTCGCAAACATTCTTTTAACGCTAGAATCGCCGACCAGTGAAACTGACTTTTTCAAACTTTTCTATAGGAACTCTAATAGAGTACCTAAACCCTTAACGGACCGGAAGTATCTCAAGTTTACTGTCAAAAAATACTGTGGATAACAAACAGAAAGAAATTCAGAGAAGAGACCTAGCACAGTAGTTAACGCGTTAATGGTGAATATTATAAGAATGGTGACAAAAATAATAAAATGAATATAAGAGAATAATATAAAATAGAAATATTAAAAGATAAAAATAGTAAGATAAAATAAAAATAATAAAATGACATAGCTCCGTTAAGGGTCAAGATCTCTATTGCCCCTCGACTCAGTTTGCCAAGTCAACTTCAGCGATTCCCCCATCTTCCCTCGATCCCCAATAATCCCATCCCCCTCAATAATTACTAAAGAACCGCTATTCAGCAGTTCCACTGCAAAATCCATTCTCCGATCACCGAGGTATCGCGAGAGAACCAA